TCGACAGGAAAGCAACGCTAGAAGAAATCAGCAGACTACAGCAACTTGAAGTTCTAGCAGTGGCAGAAGATGCAACAGATGAAGAACCTCTTTTGTTGGACACTACATGTGTTTTCGACTGGAGATTCAGAGGAATGTGGAAGAGAAGATGCCGAATAGTTGCACGAGAATATCGCACAGGCAACACAGATGAGAGCTAATTCAGCCCAACACCAGCAGGATTCACGATGAGATTGATTTTGGTTCTTGGAAAACTTTTCAACCTATGTTTGTTTGTGGCAGACATCAAAGATGCTTTTCTTTCAGTCAAGCAGCAAGAACTGGTGGAAGTAATCGTCCCAAGCACAAGGAGAACAAGCAAACAATCCCTTGTTGACAGCAGAACGCTGGAAGTTACTCAAATGCTTACCAGGACAGCGAAATGCAGCTTTGAGATGGAGTGAACACTTCAAGGAGTTGGTCGAGAAGATGAACTTCGAAAGCTACAAAGGAATGCCAACAGTATTCAAGCATTCCACGAGAAAGATGTTTTTGATGATCCATGTAGACGATGTTTTGGTGGCAAGTGGAATCGAAGACTGGACATGGTTCAGCAAGATGGTGAGAAAGCAATTGACCGTGAATGCCGAAGGACCCTTCGAGTACGGCAGCAACAACACCTTCTACTACCTGAAGAAGAAAGTGGTCTTGGCAAGGCAGGGAATTTTTGTACAATCAAATCCTTCCTACATCAAGAAGATGGTAGAGCTACTTGAACTACATGGAAAGAAGACCAAGACACTACCACACCACAGCAACCTCGAAGTGTACAACAAGGACAACATCAAGGAGCATGAACGACTCAATGCGGAGGACCAACGTATGTTCCGATCTGGTTTGGGGTTGGCACTCTACATAGCACAAGATCGACCAGACATCCAACAATCTTTGAAAACTTTGTCAACCTACATGGCTGGAGGAACGAAGTTGGCATACACGGCTTTGAGACACCTTGGAAGCTATCTTCAAGGAACACAAGATGCCGGAGTTTTGTTGACGCAACTCAAACGATTTGGAGTGACAAGTAACCATTGGGATTTTCCTGAATGGAGCAACAGAGAAGACAGAAAGAACTACAACCTCGAAGTCTTCACGGACGCCAATTGGGCAGGATGCAAAGTAAGCAGAAAGTCAACAACATCATACATGGTTTTTCTGAACGGAAGCCTACTTGTTAGCTCATGCAAGCTACAATCCTCAATAGCACTTTCCAGTGCAGAATCAGAGCTTTACGCAAGTTGCAGTGGCATTGCAGAGATGCTACATGTTGGAAGCCTACTGAAGTTTCTAGGAGGAGCCAATGAAGTTCAGATGATAGCTTTCAGTGACAGTTCAGCAGCCCGAGGAATCATGCAACGAGCTGGACAGGGTAAACTGAAGCACATTCACATCCGCAACCTTTGGATCCAAGATCTTGTGAGAGAAAAGATTGTGAGATTGCTGAGAGTTCCCACAGCAATCAATCCAGCAGATCTGAACACAAAGAAGCTAGCGCAAGAGAGACGAAAGAAATTGATGAGCCTCATTCCAATGGGAAATCAAAACGGTGTAGAGATTGAGACCATCGAGACCATCCCAAGAGAAGTGACCCAGAAGACTATTCAGAAGATCTTGAGAGTGATTTTAGCTGGAAGCACATGTTTCTTGCAAGGATGCACAAACCTGACATTGCAATCAGGTGAGATGACGGTGAACGACATCATCACGATCAGAAACTTGGTGATCCTAGCGCTGACGCTTGTGATCCTCTATCTGACGAACGCACTACGGGTACAACGACGTCGACTACAGTTCACTGAGGAACTATATCGAGAACTATCCCGACGACTTCGCGACTACAGAGATAGCAGCTCTTCATCGACCTCAACATCCCAAGAGAGTGGACCTTTTGTTTCAGGACTGACAGAAGGCAGACCTCGACGAACAAGGCAGAGAATGACGCCTGGAGAAGCAACACGACTTGGAATACGACCACCAAGAGCACCTGGACTACTTGCAGAACTAGGTGAACAGTTTGTAGATCTACAAGGCATTTGGGCCAATGTGAACCCGATGAGATATGAAGGAGGCCTAGCACAGATCTTTCCACTACCATTCAGAGGAAACAGTGGAGAGAGAACCTATGAGGCCACGATTCAAGAACAGCAACAGCGAGAAGAAGCAGTTCCTGAAGAACCAGAAGAGCCTAGCCCAGAAGACGCCTTGATGCAACCAGGTACAGGCACAAGATTCGACGTTTTCACACAGACTGGTCAAAGTCAGGGAGAAGGACATGGTGACACAGAAGAAGCGGAAGAAGGAGATGGAGGACCTCGACGGCGAGTACACCATGAAGCATCACATGGAGCAGCAAACCCTGATGGAGAAGAAGATCAACTACATCATGAAGAAGAACGACCGCATCCCGGAGGAGAACGACTACATCCCGGAGGAGAACGACCACATCCCGGAGGAGATCGACCACATCACGGAGAGAATCGACCACATCCTGGAGAAGAAGTTCGACGAGTTCAACGACGACTACCAGATCCCCCTGATCTCGGACAAGGACGTCATGGGCACGGAGGAGAAGACCATGACAGTGGACCAGAAGAGTTGACATGGTCAAGCAGCGAGCAAGCAGACCATGATTGGGAGCAAGAAGGAGATCGCATTGCAGAAAGAGAACAAACAAGAAGAAACCACATGGTGGACATTGAGAACATGCATTGGCAGATGCTGGAGCATTCTTCACAAAGGCTGGGACACATCCTAGCAGATGGATCAGAAGAGACGAACAACGAGGAGCTGGAGAGAATTATTCCTTCGAGACCAGAAGTTTTTAGCTGGTACAGAGAGCAACTACTGTTGATTGGAGAAGGAGTGGAAACGCACTTGATAATTGCAGCACGAGAACTTTCCCACTTCATCAACACGATCCTAGATGAAGCAATGAATCGACGAGGCAGAGTACTCAATGGAGAGATGATGGGACGACTCTTTACTTTGAGAAATGAGATGACAGCAGCAATTGAAGATTGCCAGACACCAGAAGGCTACAGGCGAAGCATTTTGTTCGCCAAGAGACTTGAACGAGAAGCAATCCAACGTGGAGCTGATGCAGCAGCAGCAGGACATCCAGATGAAGAAGAAGCAGAAGCAGCAAGACAGGAATTCAGCAGACAACACACCTCAGGAGAAAGAAGAGAGCTTGGCAACCAAGATGACAACAATGCACTACTTCGACACCTACCACCTGAAGCAGATGCAATCGACGACGATGTGAGCATGGAGTATGTGGACGTGGATGACATCAACGTCATTGAGATTGGGGACACGAGAAGCAGCGATTCACAACAAGCTGACAGAGAACAGCAGGCAGTGATCCATTTGAGTGATGGAGAAGAGGAACAAGAAGATCCCAGAGACGAGGATCAAGTGGAATCAACAACCAGGAGAAGAAGAACTGAGCGCAATGGAGCCAGTTGAATTTGTAGGCCTGTTTGAGAGCTGAACTCGCAGTAAGTCCTACAGAAAGTGAACAAAGGTTCAGCGAGCCTAGAACGCCTCGCTGAAAGGCAGGGTGTCAGACTTCACTACAGACACTCATGACCTGTTTGCACACATGTTCAGAGCCCAATACCGCAGCGGCTTTCTCAAGCCAGTGGAAGTGAAAAGAGCCGCTTCTACCTTTGACACTTCTTAAACTGACACATGAGTGCCTTTGATCCAGGCAATGCATAGCTTTGTAAGGTACTCAGAGACTCAGTACCTTTCTTTTTTTCTGTTTCTATGCTCACGTGTTGTTGCACCCCGAGCTTGCAACGTTTGTGGATTTTGATGAAGGTCACAAGGTTCGGCTGAAAAGGAGAGGGCTGATAGATTCACGCATCCTGATTTGGAGCTGCCCTGTCCTTGACGTCCTTCGCGTCGGTTTTGCTGCGCACCCGGACTGGCGTGTCAACCCTGTGGGTGGTAGAAAGAGCTCCTGAACCAGAGACACACCAAACAAAAAAAATCGAACTTATCCGCACGCCGACGTGTTTTATCTTTGTCTCCTTGTTTCGGCTGGCCTTCTTCATTTCCTTGAAGTAGCTGCTTATTTTGCTTCCAGCCATAGGCTTTGGCTTTGTCATGAGATCAAGGCTGAACTCCGCAGACACCGGCACAAAAGTGAGGCGAGCTATGGTCCAGATTTAGCGATGAAGATTCCTGAGTGGAAGCGGAAATGTGATTGAGACATGGTGGTCATTTGCCAACCGTGATATCGGTATATAGTCTCTTGTCAACCATGTTGTGCTGTGGCCTGCGTGGCACAGCGCAAGGAATGAAGGAGACGTGAGTTCTCCCTCAAGCCTAAAGCCTTCACATGAAGGTGATGCCCTTGCTGGAGTCCCACTCGGGGCGTCAGCCTAGATGACTTGGACCATTGGACACTGACACGGTCTGCATCTCCGACCAACACGCTTTTGTTTAACCGGTGAAGTAGTGACCAATTACAGCTGCAGCCCTCACGGTGAGCCGTGGGCGTGACAGTGGCTGTTGTGTGTTGCGACCAAGTTGTGACCGATGTGGTTGAGAGGAAAGGCTTAACATGGCTTAACGGTTTAACGGGATTCCACAGGATGCAACTCTGGAACAAGGTGGGGGTGATTTATACTTGCCCTTTGTTTAAAACCATGCCTTTGAATATAAATATATCCTCAATGTGGCGGGTGCATGCAGATGCATTATACAGTTTGTAGATGCTGCGTCGAGCGCGGCATTTGGGCTGCGTTGGTCAAATCAGATATCCTCACATTTGGTGACCTGCGCGAATGCAATGTGTATCCCAGTGTAATTAAAGTGTGGGTCTTGGAAGCTCTGTGCGAAACGCATGTTTTGGAACATTAGGGTGTTCTTGAAAGTTGCTCTCCAGTCTGTGTGGATGGATTCTTGAGCATGTGTGTTTTGTGCTGGTGTGTTGCGCCTTGCATCGTGAGGACTCTCTTTGGAATCATCTTTGACGCACCTTGGTGTTCAATATAGACAATATAAAGCAAAACAGCTGTAGAATCAGCATTGGTTTTCAGGGGTCGATTATACTCATGTCGCTTGGGACGATTACCACCCGCAGCAGGAAAGTATCAGAATAGTTCGCCGGGTGGATTCACTGATTCGCAATTGAACCCAACGAGACGAAGTTGGGGCCATCTTGGGGCAAGTTGACCCCAAGATGAGCCCATGTTCGGAAGATGGCATGCCGATTTTATCCTATCTTCAAAACAACGTCAAGAGCTGAGCGCTTTGACCGACGTTTGTCGGTTTGTGACTTCCGAAAATGCGCCCCCAAGCCAAGCCAACTGAGCGCAACACTATAATGCACTATATACGTGCTATCGGGGCGCTACCACGATGCGAAGTGAGTACGCCTCAGCTCCTCAATGTGCTTTTTGTTCGAAAGAAATCATGCACTACTGTCCAAGTAGCGGTGCCAAGAACATCGATGATCGAGATCGTGGAGCTTGTGCGTTCCTGGGCGAGGCCTCGTTCTGTGCATTTGTTGCAAGTTATTTTGGAAAAAGCTGGCCACGCCACTCATTCAGAGTACAGTATCGTACAGTCAGTAGACTTCGAGGTGCTTCAATCTTGGGATCGTCGGCGTTGCTTCTCCAAGCGCTGGCTCCAGGACGGAATTGGTTCATTTGGTAATGGATTTCCATGAGATGCCAGCACTGCCACCCAGATTGTAAAGGATGCAGCCGGAAAGTTTTCAATGCCAAAGGGTCCAAACACAGAGCGAGATGAACGCCGTGGGTGGTCAGGCACTCATGGGAGCCGCAGTCACGCGTTCAAACGCATGTATATAGTGCAAGGACTTTGCGCATTTGTGTACAAGTGTCCAGTTTGACCTGTTGGGCTGCACACCTTCTGTTGATGCCAATCTCATAAGGTATGCCCTGACTTCAGAGAATTTACACAAGAAGCCTGCTGAAGAGGTCGATGTACAGTAGCCGAGCTATGTCATTTTGAACCGTGTGGTTGGTTGAGAACCAATTGAAACAGGAGTCTGGAGCTTTCAAGAGCGCCGAGGCGTTCTTGAGTTCACATCTTAGTTCTGCTTCCTCACGGTGTTGAATCTTGAACCCGCAGATAGCTTCTTGGTTCGATTTCCTATGAACAATTTGCACATAGAGCGTGAACATAATATCTTGATATATCTTGATGATTCTCCTTATG